TTTTTTTTATATCTATTTCGTGTTATTGTATTTTTGTGTTTGATTATTGACCATGGTTAATGTATTTCCAAGTCTTTTACCTCATTCATAGTTGTTGACACTTTGCAACCGCCTTGATGGATGTATTGTGACGTATTTTGACCCCGGATTCTGATCTTGCGTTCCGGTTACATGTACATGTTACATGTTACATCCAAATGTCATGATATTTAATATTTAAAACCCACCTTTATTTCACAGTCACTTTAGTTTTCACTTTTCTAAAATTATTTTACTGATCAAAAGACTTTCCACTCCCATCATGCAATCCCCCATAGTACTTTCTGGAACACAGAGGCGATCGCCAGCATATCTACAAATAACCTCGCTCTCAGGAGCTGAGGAATTAAATAAATACAACATTACATGTAGTATATTAGGCCCATTTTATATGATATTTCAATCGTGTGCATGCAACGCAAAACTTAATATATTGCCAAATATTTTGTATATGTTACACACGTAGGGCTAATATTGTTACACTGTTCAGGAGAGTCTCAACAACCATCCCAAAGTATAGTTTTCTGCGAGTTTTTGGCCTTTGTTTTCACCGCGAGGGTTGCCAAGCGGTGAAAATGCCCGGATGTCCGCCCCGAGGATAGCGGCATAAGAAGTATTGAATAGCGCCACCATCGTCCATTTTTTCGTTTTGGCAAATATCCAAAAGGAACGCTCGCTCGCGCACATTTCTCGTTTTTTTAAGCCCGACGCCAATCTGATTAAAATAAGATCCTTGTTTGGACTTTTTTTCGTTAATATAATATCATTCATATATTTTACTATTTTTTTCAATTTATTTGCTGGTATTTTTTAAGTTTTGGTAATCGCGAAAGCCCACTTGCATGACAGTTCAAAATAGAAGCGCCCAGGCACAGCATCCCCGACACAATCCATGGGCGCTTTCATTTTGATCTGTCACGTGATGTCATCCGCAGGCATGAGCAGTTCCGCAAAAGTCATAAACAAGTTGCTTTCGTCCAGCGCAGCGCTGTGAGGAATTTTCCACGAGTGGCAGAAATTATCAAACATGTTGGATATTTTGCTTTATGCCCCGAACAGCTAGAATCAGGCCCAAAACAAGCCCGCAGACTACAGCAACAACTGCCACGAATGAATTTTTGCTGAGCAAGATGCCCGGGGCAAGATGCTGTAGTGTGCGCCGGGCTTTAGTTTCCGCCATAAAGGAGAAATATTTAGCGAAACTATAACATATTAATATGAAAAGCAGGGGTGAAAGCGTCCTACATTCGAACGTTATCAAAAAGCGCGCGGCCATGTCGTGTACGCGCTAGAAGTACGTTTTCTAAAACTCAGAGTCTGAGCAAGACGCAAAACCAATACATGTACGAGTTCAATCAAAACATGTCACCACTGACTGTAATGCTTATAGTACTGTTTTATCATTTCTAGAATGTTACTGAAAGCTTATTTTATCCAAGAAGAAAAATATTCATGTAATATCTCTAGTATTGTATTAACCCAGCCCGGTAACCCAGGCACTTTTGCCTACCGCCCTTGGGTAGAGTGGCGCGCGTCTTAGCAACGTGGAACGTCTTGTGACGTTGCTCTGCCTCCAAGGATCAGATAGCGCAATCATTCTCCGTCGCAATTTACGTCTTTATTTATCCAATACGTATAAAGTTGATGAAGAAATTATGAAAACAATGGTACAGTATCTATTTTGTGTGAACATTCATCACATATATTATTCTATTTATTATCATTCTACTAACTCTAGTTATCTATGGAAACATTACATTACAAATTACATTACAAATTACATTACATTACATTACGGACCACTGATTGAACACTTTACATCATGTCATTAGTCAATGTTACTCTCATTAACTGCATTATGAATAGCGTCTTTGATGTACAGCTGTATTTATGTAAATCACTTAAAAATATACATTTTTGTATACACAGAAGATTGCATTTGTACGTTGCATAAAAACAATGTAAATAAACGACATTATATGGCTTTGCTGTAATAGAAATATTCAAATTTAGTTCTACACTGCGGGGACTGTGTTGTGCGCCATCTTACGAAAGCATTGGGAGATATAACGTGTGACGGTTTCTAGCTATACCTATGACCCTTTTTTTAGTAAAACAAATATACACATGCAACATTTAAGAAAGCTTCAACTAAGAGTCATTGCAAAGTTGGCGACAACGATTTTCCTGCTAAACTGGTTTTAATGCGTGAATGTAATGGTACATTTAACATGGTGATATCAGTTTCTCTCTGTCAGTAAATGTGCAGCTCGTTTAAAAATGCAAAACCCAACAGATGGCACGCTTAAGTGAGTAGTAACCCATCATGGTTTTGACGTCATCTTCATGAAAGCCCCAACATGAAGCCAGGTTATTTGTTAGCTAAAGTATTTATACCATCCACTGACTCTGTTGTTGTTGTTGTTGTTGTGCATATGACAGTTATCTGGCAACAAAGGAAAGCTAATCCAAGTTTTGCTCAGACGTATGTGAACACCGGATACTTAATAAATATATAAAATATGTCTGTGCGTTACGTTTCCACTTCAATGGCTTTTGTTACAAGTAGGCACAGTTGGGGGTAGAATGCGTAATTTTAGAAGGAGTTCAGCTATCACGTCCTGCCAGAGCGCTAGCAAAGCCCAACCAGGGGCATAGGTAAGAGTGATTAGCCCCATCAAGTTCAACGACCTGTCGCTGTAGTCCCACGAACATGCGTTGAATTGACGTAACACCAATCCAAAGACAAACTCCCATGTAAAAGCAATTATGACGTAAATCAACACTCGTATAGCCGTAGCTACTCTGTGACGGTACCACAAATACACATACAGCCTTTCCACCAATAAACTGCAACTGCCATACATGACAAACGAATAGATGGACGTGTAACCGATCAGCCTGGGATCTGGGTTCAGGAATATGTAGTCATATATTGCGGTGAACAAGATCTCGTCAAAAAACCCATGAAGTCCGTAAAAGAACAGTCGCATATAAGCTGGCAATGGTTTACCTTGAACGACAATAGATGTGGCGCCCGGGCTCATGTTTCAAGACAGGACGTAGTTTCGTTTCGTACTTGTGCTTGGGGTTTATGTGCCGTGTGTACACCGCATATACCAGTGCATAAACAGTCAGGTACCGGCAACTAAACTGTTTGCTATTTAGGCACCTGCATACTTGCGAGGACGAACCATTTTTCAACAGGGAGTGTAACTGTCAATTGCAGTGTTTCACATTATTACTAATTAACTTGCGTGATAACTGAGGCGGCAACTGTTTACGCATCGGATATGTTATGTGGATCGCACACTCCGATGGAAAAGGCTGAAAAGACAATCGATTTAAACCGAAGGTGTTCTTGGTTGTGCACCGAAACTTACAATGGATCGGTCCTTGGAAACCATTTATACCTTCGTGCCTTGTCATGCTGGCTGGACAATTTACGTCAATAGTCACAAAAGCGGTAAAAGGTGAACTAAAAACACCCCGGGGTTTTGTGTCAGTATAATATATTTATGAACATTGAGCATTTTAGCTCTATTGTATGAGTAGGTACATGAGTATGGCTATATCTCGTGAGTCTACTACTACAAACTGACCAAGATTGCAAGTCACGCACTCTTATCTGTTCTGGATTAGCGTTAGGGTAAAATCAAAATTTATAAACCCTGTTTGTTTTCAGTTGTATATCTAGGGTGACCCGAGCAGAAGGGCGCATTCGGTATAGGAGAAACTTTCAACATGGCTTCAATTCTTTGAGAAATTATTAGACCTGCATAGTTAATTACACGTCGGCCGCTCTCGATAAACTTAAATAGTTTGGTAGAAATTATACGACGTCCGCTGTCATATTTCTGATTTTTTTTTATCACAAGAAGAAAATTATCTGAATAATTTACTTGCACTATTCGCATAAATTCGATATAAATTAATGGATCGGGCGGATTGCTTGTTGTCCTTAGCCCTTAATCAACGTTATTAAAAAATTAAAAAAATGAAAACATCCAAAATTGTTTTGCCAATTTAAAATTTTCCCTTCGTATCTTCCATAAACATGCCTCGAATGTGGGTATGATCCAATCCTATCCAATCACATCTGTGGTACGGTCCCTTATCCAATCA